TATTCCCCGCGCAGCAACCGCTGCCCTCGGACTGTACAGAAATGAGTGCTACTTCAATAAATGTGAGTACACTTATTTTTATATAATCATCGAGTTGTTGACTTAAACGGTCTGCAGGTCTATGTCACACAATAACTCATGTCTTACTGTTTTGTATTCTAGTTTGTATGTCAAAAATTCATGTAACTACTTGACCACAGCAATATGAGTGAATTTGAGCCTTCTGTGATTCAGTTTGAGCTGGCTCGAGCTGTGGCTCTATGAGCCTTAGCTAAAGCTGACTCGTATGGCTAGCCATGGCAGGCCAGGCCGGATATAATGGCTTGGCTCACTATAAATAGAAGACATTCGTGAATGAGACAATCTTCGAGCATACCCACATTCTTTGATTAGGGTGTATGTACTGCAGGATAGGGAGAAGAGCTGTGAGCATGAATGCCTTGGATGAGAGCTTCGTGTGAGTGCACATGCAAATATTAGCAAGGCCTAGCAGAAGTGAGTGTGCAACCCTGGCACCTGTCATTGTCATGATATTGGTTTTGTCAGATGAAAGCACAGTGCCAAGGACTGTTGTGCCTTGAGGCAGTTGATCCTACAGTCTTGTGAGATGGCGCATATTGTTAGTCCATTGACAGCACATATTTGGATACTCCAAGCAGTGTCACCCATCAATCATTCCGAATATACATGCAGGAGCTGTGCTGCAGTGTTGTTAACATGACAAGGGATAAAGTCAAGTTGGTTGTGAAAGAGAGTATTACTGAAGAGACTCTCCAAACACTCAACCAGATCCCTCCAAAATAGTCAAAACTTTGCAAATCTTTAGCATTGTTAAATGACAGTTTCAATCATTTGATCTGCAAGGTATTGTCATGACTGAATTGTGAAAGCAACAAGAAAGATATGTACCATAGAGAGCTGCAAAAACTTGTTGATAGTTGCCATACTAAGGGCAGAATGCAGTAGGAAGTTGTTAAGACTGTACTCAAGAGGTATTGAATCCAAAGGGCTTGGCCTCAGCTCATGCGCTGTGCCCCTTTCCCGAGTCTTGCTCCTTATTTCAGAGTATTGCGTCTAGCAGGACAGATAAGTATCGTAACAGATCTGTTAAGGCTTCCGGATATCGAACGTATAGAGTAATGGCTAATCCAGATTGGATCTGAACTAGAATCTAATGGATGAGGACTGTCCGAAGACAGAGGCGAAGATACAGACTATAGGAGTCAATCCTAAGTCTCGGAGTAGACAAGAGTATTGTACTCAAGTCTTGGACGCATAATGGAGGGACTTAGAGTCCAGATGGAATGAGTGCAATCTAAGATGATATTTGAACTGATCTACTACAGCGCATGTACAAGGGTTTATATACTACGGATAACTAACGGAATGATCAATAAGCAAAGGTGCGAGGCTATGTACGAAGTATAAGCAAGTATGTGCACAGCGTATTGGTAAGTCAGATGGATCATGGATCAAGTTAAAAGCAGATCAGTAAGCATAGTGGATCAGTAAGCATACCGGATCAGTAAGCATACCAGAAGTAAGGATAACCAGATTACCGGAGTCTAGGAATACCGAAAGGAGATGAACAATAGTTAGAGTTATATGAACAGGAAATGAAATGAAGATCGGATCGGATCTGGATCGGATCTGGATCGGATCTGAGATCCGGATCTTTGGATCTGTACCCAGATATATGGTATATGACAGAAGTCAGCAACCTCCAATTCTTCCTTCAATGTGAATGGGTAAAACAGGTTATCCTTCCTGTATCCTGCATACTTGTCAGCATCGAACAGATCCATAAATGTGATGCCATTCTGAGAATAACACTTGGCTGTGCCCTCATACCATTCCTCATTACTTGGAGGCAAATTTCCCACCATATCAAAGAGGTCTCTGTCTAAGTTGGTATCCATGGCATCCATGGCATCCATGGCCTGAGCATCGAATTGTGAGTCATTGCCAACATCAAATCTCTGACCCATACTAGTATTCAAATTCTGAGGTGGATTGAGGGATCGTTGCAGTGGAACGACATCTGTGAACTCCAAGATGTCGACAATGTCACAAACAGAACTGTGACAAGATGTCTGAGGCTGGCTTAGATGGCGAGTGATGCTAGAGACTTTGGTAAATACTTTTCCGCACTTTAGACATGTAGTAGGTATTGACATTGATTCAATATGCGCAAGTTCCCACACTTCTTTCATTCTGAAATCTCCTATGCTGAGTCTAGCTGTGCAATCATATCAAGCTGCTACCTGTGCATATGTTCCCTAATTCTGAAATATTTTCTCACTCCTCCCCAAAAACTGCCTACTCTTCTCCCTCTCCTCATTCCTACTATCCTTCTTCTGACTCTCACAATTCTGATGCGTCTTCAACTCCTTGAGGCATATCACCCCCCTGGCCTGATACTGGACATTCACACCCTGTCAAGGAAGAAGAGGAGGAGGATGAGGAGGAGAGCTCACCCATAGCAATGCATTTTGTGAGTTGCACCCACTGATGTGTTGCTTTGTCTCTCATATCTACTATCTGCAGGAACGAGACTCAGCCGAGTCCTACTTGTTCGATCAACTAGAAGAAGATAACTCCGACCTCGTGCTTGAGGAAGCCCAGGCCCAATGTAGAGAGACACATTCAGGGAAATGATGGTGAAGTTAGAACACATTTTTGAATGATGCCAAGAAAGGAAACTGTCTCTATTGCCAATGAAATGCTGACTGTTCATGACTGAGACAATGTTTGCAGGAGCAACCATAGGGCCACACGGAGTGCAGCCAGACCTAGAGAAGCTCACAGCTATTGTTAATTGGAGACAACCCGCTGATGCACTTAATTGAGAATCATTTTTAGGGTTAGCAAGCCATTTCAGGGACCTAGTACAAAGCTACGCCAAGAGAGAAGGCCCGCTGCGCAACCTCATAAAAGCAGCCCCCCTCAAGATGCCATACTCAAAAGCCATGTATCATCACATGCTAAGAGACTTTAAGCTCACAGAACGATGGACCGCTAACCACACAGCAGTGTTTTTAGACCTAAAACAGCTCTCATCTCACGACCAATATGGCAGGCACCCTGATACAATGGATTGAATTTTGTGATCACATCCAATGGATGTCAAGAAGGTTTTGCAGCAGTACTGAGTCAAGGAGTCCATAAGCAAAAACCATCAGGAAAATGGGTTGAATGCCTACTTCCAATTGCCTTCACGTCAAAACGAACATCAAGAACCGCACTTTGGTCACCCCTTTTTAGATACCTCTTAGGTTGATTGTGGTCTATAGAGGTTTGTACCTAAGAGGTATGTTTCTGCTGGTCTCTCCAATGTTCCATGGTCCTTCCCTATTATTTTTGTGGACCAAAAGAGGATGTACTGCACATGGACCATAGACCACTGGGACCATGTCACGGAAAGTACCACAAGGTATTTTGGACCATATATCTAATGGATTTCCGCAAATATAGGAGTGTCTGGGGTCACAAACCACCTTAATTTTCAATCGTTTGTGATAATTTTCTGTTGATTCTGATGACGAATAGCATTAGACTACAATGAATGAGCCCCTTCAGTGACAAATCCCGTATTATACGGGTCACCCCGACCTACATAATATCCCATGTAATACGGGCCAGCGGATTATGGGCCGATGTTATGTATATACCCGATGTTGACGGGTGGGCCGGGAGGAATATTATTTCCGATGGAGATGGGTGGGCCCATCTATGCTGATGTTATATATATCATCGATGATAGCGGATGGGCCAGGAGAAGTATTATTATGGAGATGGGTGGGCCCATGTGGGTAATATGTAGAGTAGGATTGACATATATTATAGACCTGAGGAGAGATGTATAGCAAATAGTATTATATAGACGGGCGGGCCGACATATCAGTATTATTTTGTAGACGGATTTGCCGAGGGAGCGGTGAAATATTTATTAGATAGACGGGTGGGCCAACGTAGGGAAATATTAGATAAATGGGTGAGCCACGGGTGGGGTGAATTATTTATTACATAGACAGGTGGGCCGATGTGGGGGTAATATTAGATAGACAGGTGGGCCGAGGGTGAAGTGAATTATTTATTACATAGACAGGTGGGCTGATGTGGGGTAATATTAGAAAGACGGGTGGGCCGAGGGTGAGGTGAATTATTTATTACATAGACAGGTGGACCGACATGGGGTCATATTAGATAGACGGGTGGGCTGAAGTGCAGAATTTTACATAGACAGGTGGGCCGAGGGTGAGGTGAATTATTTATTACATAGACAGGTGGGCCGACGTGGGGTCATATGAGATAGATGGGTGGGCCGAGGGTGAAGTGAATTATTTATTACATAGACAGGTGGGCTGATGTGGGGTAATATTAGAAAGACGGGTGGGCCGAGGGTGAGGTGAATTATTTATTACATAGACAGGTGGACCGACATGGGGTCATATTAGATAGACGGGTGGACTGAAGTGCAGAATTTTACATAGACAGGTGGGCCGAGGGTGAGGTGAATTATTTATTACATAGACAGGTGGGCCGACGTGGGGTCATATTAGATAGACGGGTGGGCTGAAGTGCAGAATTTTACATAGATGGGTGGGCCGACATCGGGTAATATCAAGTACCAAGTACTAAAACCCAAAACTCAAAACTCAAAACCCAAAACCTGAAACCTGAAACCTGAAACCTGAAACCTGAAACCTGAAACCTGAAACCTGAAACCTGAAACCTGAAACCTGAAACCTGAAACCCGAGCCCTGAACACCCAGACTCGGGACTCAAGAGACTCAAAACTCAAAATTCAAAACTCAACTGGAAACTCATACATTGTTATGAGTTAAGAAAATTCAAATTTAAGATGATATACATTTTGTCATCTAGAAATACCGAGTACCGAGTACTGAGACCTGATACCCAAGACCTGAGATTCGGCACTCGGTAGTCAGTGAAATGAGTACAGAAATACATAAGATACTACACATTAGTTTCAAATTTTGACTTGTGAATCACCAGTCTCAAGTCTCGAGACTCGAATCACCGAGTACTGACTACCAAGTACCAAGTACCGAGTGCTGAGTGCCAAGTGCCAAGTGCCAAGTGCCAAGTGCCGAGTTCCAAGTGCCGAGTGCCGAGTTCCGAGTGCCGAGTGCCCTGATGCTTCCGGGTATTAAAACACAGATAGCCCTCGCTCTCAGGGGGTCATCAGAATTTAGATCACCTCAAACGGATGTGATTTGGGTGAGATATGAGCAAAATACTATATACTGGGTGAATTTCAGCATTGGAAGTTTGATGCTTTCGATGTTTTTGATGTCAGGTTCTGATGCTTTCGGGCATTGACATGTAGATAGCCCTCGATCTCAGGGGTGTGGCAGAATTCACATTGTCTCAAACAGATATAATTTGAGTGAGATATATGCAAAATACCACACACTGACTACCGAGTGCTGAGTACCAAGTGCCAAGTGCCGAGAACCGAGTTCCGAGTGCCAAGTGCCCCGATGCTTTCGGGTATTAACACCCAGATAGCCCTCGCTCTCAGGGGCCCATCAGAATTTAGATCATCTCAAACAGATGTGATTT